TTATAGCTCCCGTCACCAAGCGAGCCTGTCATTATCAAGGGCAAGAGAGGGTGGGAGGATCACAGCCAATTCTTTCCTACTGTGAGCTGAGCGAGTAGCTTGGAACATTGTGGTTCTGGTACACAAAAGACAATTATTTCATCATCATCATTGTAAGGTACTGTTCACCCTGGAGGCCAGCTCAGCCATGCAGGATGGGCACACACCCTGCATCCTGCTTGACGTGAAACCCAGCAGGCCATACATCATCCATATTCTGCTTGGCACAAGCAGAATTTTTTTGAAAACCCCCAGCCGTTGCCCCCAGCCGTTGCCCCCGCCAGCCGTTGCCATCACCAGCTGTTGCCACGGGTTACTTACTCTACCCTATAAAAACTAAACCCTTCCCTTATTTGGGGCTGACGCCTCTCATGACCTCAGCCCAGCAGGTTAATAAACTTGCTTGAATATCGGGTCTCTCGCCCCCCTCTCCTCAGCAAACCTTTCAGTCATCACAATCACCATCACCATCATCATCATCGTTATCATCATTATCACTCGCTATGGTTAGCATACTTTTTAGGTAAAGGTCAGATAGTAAATGTTTTTGGCTTTGGGGGCTGTATAGTCTCTGTCATACTGCTGACTTCTGCTGTTGTAGCACAAATTTGGGCTGGATTTGGCCCATAGGCTTTAGGTTGCCAGCCCCTGTCCTGGACTATCATTAAATCTGCTCCTTATCCCCAGCTTCCTGCCTTTGCCCAACTCTTATCCATTTCCTATAAGGCAGGCAGAATGAATGAATGATCTTTCAAACTCATAAACCAGGTTATATCACCCTCCTATGGCTTTTAGCCCTAGAATCGAATCCGAATTCTTCATGTGGCCACTCCAGGCTTTTCTGGTCTCTTTTTGAGACTTTCTTCTGCTCCGTCACTGTGTTCCATCTGTACCGGAGTTTTTTTCGGTTCCCTGAACATCCTGAGAGCAGGCTTTCTCTCTGCCTGGAATGGCTTTTACTGCACTTCCTGTGTGGTTAGTTACTTCTTTTCCTTCACGTCTCCTCTTTAGAGAGGCCCTCCATTCAGAAGTTCTGCCTCTCTTTCCCTTCCCGAATAACGTCTGTATGAGCATCCTGTGTGTTTCCCCCATCATTTTCTATCACTTAACTGATCATGTGACTTGCCTGTGTCACATTCTGGAATGTGATCTCCCGGAGGATGGGGAGTATATCTGCCTCATTCACCACTGGATATCCAGCACCTGGAATGCACTTCACATCGTTCAACCACTGAGTGAATGGAAGTGTAAGGGATTCTTTCCTGGAAGTAAGAAGACACTTTTCGTTCTAGGAAATATTCAGTGAACAGCGGTTCGGTACTGAGCCTTATCCTGAGCCTGGCAGGAGAGCTAGGAGCTGTTGAAGACATTGTGTCTGCACCCAGGATGACTGAATCCAAATGAATGGTACAAACTGTGGGCAGTAAGAGTCCTGGGAAGGAAAAGTCAGTTGGTGTGAGTCATGGCCTGGCACTGGGGTGGGGATGGGTGGGTCCTGGGGAGCACATACCTTTCCTTGGCATGACATATCTCCTGACATTATAATGTACCTTCCAAAGACTGAACATACTTCCCCAATGTAATGTCCCAAAGTTCTTAGGAGGTTGGGAGGAGCTTTAAATACTTCAAGTGTGAGTTAGCTACTGTGAAACATAAAGTCATAATTCTATTTTTTTTTTTTAGCTACAATACAACAATCAGAATTTTTTTCAGTCAAGATAAGAAAAACTCCTCAAAGTTAAACTCTGAATGTCATCGCTGCTAGGTCACACGGTACGCCTCCTCCCTTGCTCCCATGTTGTAGGAAACTAAGACAGCTTCCTTACACTTTCCAGGTGGAGTAGATGGAGGCAGGCACATCAAGCAGGAACTAGAGTGGCCTCTTTCATAAGAAACCCCAAATTAGACGACGATGAGCCCTGGGATGCAGGCTGGATTGGAAAGTGGTGTATACACTGTGCGGTGCTGCTGTGCACTGATTAGATCATTTGACTCTCACAATCGCACTTGAGATTTGAATCTCAAGCCTCCAGGAGACGGACTTGAGTACTCAGGCTGAGAAGAGGGCCAAGGGCAGTGCAACAGGGAGCCATGCTTGAGGCACAAGAGGAGAAACAGGGCGGGGTGTAGAAGCTGGGGCAGAACCAGGAGGCAGTGCTTTAAAGAGAGAGTGGATTGTTAGGCCAAATCCTGCAGAGGTCAAGCGTGATGAGGATGGAAACAGAACCGTTAATCTTGGTATCATGGCGGGGGTGGAGTGGGGAGGGCATTGGTGACTTTGGAGAGAGCAATATTGTCACTGGATGGGGCGTGGGAGAGGGGAGAAAAAGCCAAGCTCACGGTGGTGGGAGCTAAGGAGGCAGACACACTGCTCTGACCTTAACCATCCTGCTGCCCCCACCATGTGTCACTGCTTCTACAAGGAGCTCTGGCCTAGTCATCTGGAGTTCTGGTTCTGGTCTTGCCTGTGCTCCCAGCTGGGCTGATAACCTTGGGAAAGTTTCTACTGTCTCTACCTGTGTGTTTCCATCTTCCATACATCTCCAAGGTCTCTTCCAGTTTTTATGTGCTGCTTTTCTGGAGGGGATGGACGTGAATGGAGGTGTGCATATGGATGGCTTTTGGGACAGTGTAGAGCAAGCACACAATTTTATTGCTCACAGGAGGCAGTGAGCTGTCACCCCAGGTTGGTAAAGGTGCCCTCTGAGATGAGGGGCCTAGCACACAGAACTAATATGGTAGCTGATAGGAGAGCAAAGGGACTCTGTTCCAACAAGCCCCATGGTGATTTCAGCAGGGCAGGTGGCAGAAGGCAGATGACAGGCATCACCTCTCTGGAGGAGCACAGGTGTATTAGAAGATGCTTTCTCTGAGATGACTCATATTGTAGAAGGTGAGACATAGCTAGATCATCTGAGTTGACTCACAGGTCAGACAAGTCAGGGAGGGGGCTTTGAGAACAGAGTGGAGGATCAAGGTTGAAGATTAGTGATCTGTGAAATGAGAAGGTGTGGAATCAGGTGGGGTAGTAAGAGGCATCAATAAAGAAGAGGGTAGAGAGAGGGCCAGACTCCCTCTGACCGTCCAGTCCTCTGAGAATGGTCCAAACAGGCCTGCCCCTTTCGGGGATCCTAATGTGCTAACATCTCAGCTTATAAAACAGATAAGCGAAGGGCTGGTCTAGAACCAGAATACTGAATGCCCATATTCCATTTTTATTGGCTGTGATTTCCTAAGACCCACTCAGTTCTAGCAAATGAAAACCTGCCGGAGGCCTTGGAACCTCAGCCATTGCTGATGAGCTGATGGGCAGCCAAGGGCTTCCTGGTCAGGGAAGAAGCAGGTGCAGAGAACGAGAAGGAACTGTGAACAGCAAGCCACTTAAAGGAAACTTCTTAGATAAAGTCAGAGCCTAAAAATATTTACAAGAGTAAAATCATGTTCTGTAGTCAGTAACAACAACAACAACAACAACAACAACAACAACAACAACAACAAATCATTGCAAGGCTTCTGTAGCAAAGAAAAATTTGATGGCACCTGGGCTTTAAAGATTATTGCTATAATGTGTTGGCATGTAACCTTTTGGAAGCCAATTGGCCATAATGGATAACAATATTAAAATTAATGTGTGTAAATCTAGAAGTTAGAGACATAGCCATTTCTCTTTGAATTAGTCCCCAGCCTTTTATAAATAAAGTTATACTAGCCTCATAACTTTGGAATGTATCTTAAGACAATGTTTGTTTGTGAGTACTATTTCATCAGTAGTAAAATTGTATAAAATATATAAAAGAACTGATCATTTTATTGGATGACTCACTCTCTCCAAAGGACTTCCCAACAGTGTGGTTTCTTTTTTATTTATTTATTCTTTTTAAAGATTTTTTATTGGGGAATTGGGGGGATGGGAACAGTGCTGGGGAATTGGGGGAAGGGGAACAGACAACTTGCTGTCGTTTTGTTCTTCAGTCTAGTTGTGGAGGACATTGCTTCACTGGCCCAAGTTGGCACCATCATTGCGCTCTTCCTGGGCGAGGCACATCAGTCGCTGGCTTCTGGATGGCCGCTCACGCTGGCTGCTGGCTACACATGGTAGCCCATGGCAACCCACTGCCACAGGGGCTGCAGCCTACGCCGTTGCCAGCGACTCACGGGCAACCCAGCTCCAGGTTGAGCTGTTGTTCAGCATCTTAGCTGTGGAGGGCAGTGTCACTGGCCCTCATATGTGGGATCCGAATCGGGGCCCTCTGGCATCCCAAGCCAGCTCTTAACCATCGCGCCACTCGGCCGGCCCAACAGCGTGGTTTCTTAATGCACCAAAAAAACAACCAAACGCTCTCTCCTCTAATGACCCACTCAAAAGTTGCTTCCTCAACCAGACTTGTTCTCTGCTTCCCCCATCACTGCCAGAATAAAGCATCTCTCTCTGCTTTGCATTAGAGAAAACTGCCTGCACGTTGTCCCCTTTGTGAGGCCAGAAGTACCTTGAAATGAAGGGCTTTGTGTGTTCACCCTCCTCCTGCCGTGAATAGAACATTGAACATATCAGATGCTCAGTGCATATTTATTCAATGAGTGAATGATTGAAACAGTGAACTTGGGTTGTCTGCACATCTCTTCCTCTAACACACGAGCACACGCAGGTAAGCACCTGAATATGTGCACACAAAGACCCCAGAGGTGGATGCCCTAGGGAAAACCTTTTTGTTAAAATCCACTTTAAATGCCTGCCTCCTTTTGCCACGATGGTCGGATATATCTGAATGAATATTTCAGATGGAACCTTCCAGAAAGGAAGTTTAGGAAAGCAGATGTACATTTTTCTATCTTTTTGTGTTTTTCAAGAATGAATAACAATAGGACATTTTTTATGCATAAAAGTAATGTCATTTATATACAAAGCAGCTCAGATTGTTATTAAATGCATAAAATAGTCAAAATATCAACTTTTTGTTTCTTTGTGGATTTCTGGCACATTTTGAAAGAAACACCTTGAAATCAATTAACACAGTGAGAGAGTTAATAGAGGAATAGCACGAATGATCAGGCTGAATTGAATGAAGTCAGGGTGCATGCCATTGGAGAGACATTTCCCTTACATTGTCAGGGAAGGAAGAAGCTGAGTTGCAGAAGCACAGAAAAGGATGGTCTTCTGTTGGTCCCAGTGAAAGAAGCTTCTAGAGCCCTTGGCTTTGCTTAACTGGAGCCCTGGACCCCACTGGAATACGTCAGTGGTGGTGAGTTGGCTGGTTCTGGGATGACCATGGAGCTTGCCACAAAGACGTTTGGGTAGACGATGTCCACCTGGAAAACACAGGCACTAGTAAGGGTGTAAGAAGGAGCAGGTGTGCGCGGAGGCCTTTGGACATTCCGGGATTCCTCCCGCTCCTGGGCAGGAAGGGGAAGCATGAAGACCATTCTAGTTTCCACCCTCTTTGGGGCATCTTTCCACCCACTGAGGAGCCTCTAGGACTCACGTTGTTCTGTGTACAGCAGACCAGCTGGCAGCCAAAGTGGGCAGATGTGCACGCAATGCAGAACTCCAGGAGGCAGAAGATGAGCAGCACACCAGAAATAGCCATTCCAGGGACCTGGAACCAGAAGGAATAGGGGGGTCATGAGTGCTGCTCAGGAGTCCAAGGTCTGGCTCGAAGGGTGGCTCTGCAATGGACTGTGGCTATTGCTTTGAGGAAGTCCCTTAGCCTCGTGTCAGCCTCGTGGAGAAAATATCTCAACAGGTTTTTGTGAGGGTCAAGTGTGTCTGTAAGAGAATTGCTATTTTCACACTTACTATTGGTGTTCCTCTAATGGAAAGGATAGTTGTTATTTAGGGAAATGCCATGATAACGTGTTTTAGGTTTAGGGGATGAGACCTGAGGGTGTGGTCTGGAGTCAGTGAAACAGTGAAACTGTTCTGTGTAGGAAGTGAATAGAAATTTGGGAGTATGGACAAGCCACAGAGAGGAAAGTGAGATGGTTAGAGGGATAAGATGGGACTGACCAACATGGCAGGAAGGTGGAGCCCGCAGAAGAAGCATCCTGTGAGAAATTAAGACTTGACAGAACAGGGATGTCTAATCTTCAGTCATCATGGGTTTGCTGGGCTTGGATGTAAACCTCCACGATCCCTCTGAACCTTTAGAGAAAGTTGGCTGCTGAGACAACCTTCCTGGCTTATGATAGTGGCATTTTGTGGAGAGAAATAATTGGGGCTGTCTTTAGCTTAGCAAAAAGAGTCAGTGAAAGGATCCCCACTTGAACTATTTCGGTAGTAGTAGATTTCATCTAAGGACCAGGAGACATCTAAGTCCCCCTCTTGCTATTCTCCAAGAACACCTAGGAGAACGGGGTTTCCCACTGTATCTGTGGAGAGAGTTTGGGTAGAATACATTTTAATCTTAAAGGACAAAGAATGAATGACCCCAATTACCATTTAAATTCCAGTTACACAAGATGATAAATATGAGAGTAAAAGTGCAACATGGTAGGCACCAAACAAATGTTTGTCAATTCTAATTTTTAAAATGGCACTGGTAATAGTTGGCTGCTCAGAGAATTCTCCCTTTTGGAGAGACCTCTCCTTCACACTTTCCTTCTCCTCCCTCTCACCTTAGCAAGCATTTATTAAACATCTGTTTGGTACACGTGGCTGAGAAAGGATCCTGAGAGGCACAATCTAGTGAGGGAGATAGATAAGGATATAAATTATAATTTACATCAGACATGGTAAGAGCTATACCACAGCCAAAACAGTGCCCCAGGGACACTAAGGAGAGACAGATTCATTCTTACTACAAAACGTAGAGAGCGAGGGGGTAGGACAGGGTGTCCCAGGCAAAGGGAAAGACAGGATGATGATTTCTTAGTCAATGAATCACAGAAGCTTAGGGAGGAAGGGCCTCTACAAATGATGCTGGTCCTTTTCAAATGTGTTTTTAACAACAAAATTCTTTTATAAATAAAACCTTCCAATGTGAAGGGATTGGGGGGATGGGTGAAAAGGTGAAGGGATTAAGGAGTACAAATAAAAATAGTCACGGGGCTGGAAAGTACAGTATAGGGAATATAGTCAATAATATTGTAATAACTAGGTATAGTGTCAGATGGGTAGTAGACTTATTAGGATGATCACTTCATAAGTTATATAAATGTCTAATTGCTGTTATACACCTGAAACTAATATAATATTATATATCAACTGTGATTGAAAAATTAAAAAGATTTAAAAAAACCCTTCCTGAGGGGAAAGGGGTCCCTCAAGCAACATAGATATTTATTATTTGATGGGCATTAATTCATGCTTGTCGAGCCTCTGGAGTGCCCCGTCCCTGGCGTCATCATCTGCAAAGCTGTGATGAAGTCCAGCCCTCCTTGTTCAGATGGGAGGACTGAGGCCAGAGGTGGTGGGTGACTGGGGTGGGGGAGTTCTCTTCCCAAGATTAGACATTGGCAGAACTGAGATTAGAAGCCAAGTTTTCTGACTCAAAAATTACTGCTCTCTCCCACCAGGACACTGGCTGTGCTTCTGGTATTTGTTCGTTTTGGAGCCTCTCCCCATCTCCCTCTACCGTTTGCTTTCCAATTTGCTTCCTAATTTCTTACACTGGGCAATCTGTGCCTCCTTGGTAGGTTCTTTCCCAGCAGGAAAAAACACTTAATATTCTTCAGTGCCTGCCTCTCCCGGTGGGTGGGAGTAGCTGGAGCGCAGGGTGACTGAGGGTCACTTCAAATGGAAGCGAGCTGAGAGACACAGGGGAGTTGGCGCCAGATCTCTGGAGAGCAAGAAAGAATTGGCTGAGGAAGTTGGATTTTAATCCTAAAGCAACTGGGAGCCGAAAATATGTTTGGGAAGGGAAGAACTCAAGGTACTTTTGGTAAATAACATGGGCTTGGTTGAGGATAGGTTCTCTGGGGAGAGGCTTTTTGTAGGAATCTCAAAGAGAAAAGTCCTGGGGAGGCCCTTCTGATCGAATACAAATAGTAGTTAATGGCGGCCATTTGCCAAGTACAGACCATGCCTGGTGCATTCATATATTTATTTGACAAATGTTTCCGAAGTGTCAAGTACTGCCAGGCATGGTTCTAGGTATTTGAAATATGGCGGTAAATGAAACAGAAAAATATGCTCGCCTTTATGAAGCTCACATTCTAGTGGGAGGAGACAGACAGTAAGCATAAAATGTAATAGACTGGCAAATTATAGAATTTGTTAGGACATGTTTCAGGCTATGGGAAAAGTAGATTGGAGGGAGGAAGAGAGGAGTCCTGGGACAGTAGGTGGATGCTTGTGACTTTAGGTACAGTTTTTCAGGAGCCTCATCGAGAAGGTGATTTCTGAGTAATGGCCTGACGGAGGTGAGGAGGTGAGGGCGCCTTGGGGATATCGGAGGGAAGAGTATCGCAGGCAGAGGGAACATTCCAGGTCCCATGGTGGCAACACGGCTAGTGTATTTGAGGGAAGATCAAGGAAGTGAGTGTGGCTCCGTTGGAGGGAACTGGAGGGCACTGTGCCTTGAGACCACTGCAGGAATGTTGGCTCTTTCTTTTGGGGGCAGGAAATTAAAATGGACACAGTGAAGGTTTTGAGCAGAGAAGTGATCAAAACGAATCACTGGCTGCTGTGCTGTCAACAGCTTCAAGGAGACAAGGGTGGGAACAGGGAGGGCAGTTAGGGGACTGTTGAAGTGACTGAGCTGAGAGGCGGTGGTGGCTTGAGTCAGCCTGGTCATGGAGGAGCTGGTGAAAATGGCTGGGTTCTAGATGTGTTTGAAAGGTGAAACCAGCAAGATTCCCCAGGAGTTGGCTGGGTGGTATGGGAGATGGGGGGAGGGGAGGGGAGGTTAATGGTTTCACCATGGTTTTGTCCTGAGCAACTGGAAGGATACAATTGCCATCGACCAGGATAAGGAAACCCAAGAGAAAATTTGGGAAGTAAAATCTGGAGATCAGACTTGGATATATGTTAATTTCAAGATGCTGAGTGGACAATTGGATACGAGAGACTGGAGTTTGGGGGAGAGGTTTTGGCAGGAGCTGTGCATTTGGAGTCACTGTCATAGAGGAGGTGTTTCAAGTCAGCAGACTGGATGAGATTGCCAAGGCAGTGGGGGGTGCAGAGAAACAGGAGACTGAGGACTGAGCCTGAGGGATTGGGAAAAAAAGACCAACCAGCAAAGGAGACAGAGGAGAGCAGCCAGAGTGGGTGGAGGGGCGCCAGCTGCAGAGTGGAGCCAGAAGGCATGGGAAGGCCACCCACCAAAGAGGAAGAATGACTGGGGACCTCGAGCAGTGGGGGTTTTTGGAAAGGTGGGGCTGGAAATATGGTTAGAGTGGGTTCAAGAGAGATTATGAGAAGAGAGAATTGGAGACAGCGAGTATAGACAATGCTTTTAGGGATTTTTCTGCAGAGAGGGCCAGAGAAATAGGGTGGTAGCTGAAGTAGGACCCAGAGAAGGTTTGTTTGTTTGTTTGTTTGTTTGTTTGTTTGTTTGTTTTTTAAGATGAAAGAAACCAAAGAGTGTTTAAATGCTGATGGAAAAGCTCTACTAAAGGGGGGAAATTGATGCAGAAGAGAAGTGGTGGGTGGAGAGGGAGTGGGGAGAACTTGGAGGGAAAACTTTGAGTGGGGGGGGAAGGAACAGGCTCTGTTGTGAAGATGGAGAAATTGAGTTTACATGGGACTCATCTATAGCTGCACTTTTCAGCCTGGTAGCCATGAGTCCCCTGTGGCTGTTGAAGACTTGAGATGTGGCTAGTCCCAAAATCAGATATGCTGTTAAATGCAAAATACACACTGGATTTCAAAGGTGTGGCATTCAAAATGCAAAATACTGAATTAGTAAATTTTCGTATGGATTACATATTGAAATGACATTTTGGATATATTGGTTAAATAAAATGTATTATTTTTTAAGGTTTTTATTAAAATATACCTAGCATACAGTATTGTATCAGTTTCAGGTGTACACCATAGTTATCCAACATTTATATACATGAAGAAGTGATCACCATGATAAGTCCAGCAATCATTGGACCCTGTACCACGCTATCACAATATTATTGACTATGTTCCCTATGCTGTCCATTACATCCTAATGACTTACTTGTTTATACATGGAAATTTGGACCTCTTATTCCCCTTTACTTTCCCCCCTTTTTAATTTTTTTATTACAGTTGTCATTCAATATTATTTTATATTAATTTCAGGTGTATGGCCTAGTGGTTAGACATTTATACAATTTAAGGAGTGATCCCCCTGGCTAGTACCCACCTGGCACTATACATAGTTATTACGATAGCATTGACTATATTCCCTGTGCTTTACTTTACATCCCCATGATGACTATTATTGTAAATAAAATGTGTTATTAAAATTAAGTTCACCTGTTACTTTTCTTTCTTCTTTTTTCATGCAGCGACTAGAAAATTTAAAATCACATACATGGCTCACATTATATTTCTATTGGACGGTGCTGGTCTGCAGCATGGGATGGCAAATTATGGTCTGTGGGCCAAATCCTCTGTCCTGGTCTATTTTTGTAAATAAAGTTTTATCAGAACACAGCCACGCTCATTCATTTACATATTTTCTCTGGCTCCTTTCACACTCCTGGATAGGGTTCGATAGTTATAACAGAGACTGGGTAGTCTGCAAAGCTTTAAATATTTGCTCTCTGGCCCTTTACAGAAAACCTTTATCTATAATAACGGGCGGGAAGGTGAGAATGTGAGTAGAGGTGCAGGTTGGTGCGTACATGAGCATTGTCGGTATAACTGCATTTAATTCTCTCTCAACAATGTCATCAGGTAGGTACTGTTTTATAGAGGCAGAAACTAAGACTCTGAAAAGTCACGTGCTTAGCGTAACACAGCAATAACGCTACAGGTCAGGGACTTGGAACTCTGTTCTGATTCTGACAGCACCGCCTACAGTGCTTGGTGACTGAAGCTCGGTGGTCAGGCTGTTTCCAGGGATGTTCTAAACATAGCTCAAGTGGAAGCCAGAGGAACACTGGTTGAGGGGAACACTCACCACATCCTGGTAAGGATAGTTGTCAGGATAGATATATGAGGGGTTGATACTCATATCTATGATGAGGACTATGATTCCAGTCACAGAACAGATTGCACTGATGATGTTCAAGCCCAAGCTGCCACCCAGCTGAAGGAGACACAAAGGGTCAGGGTGAGAGAGGAAAACGATTACAGCTGAGGTGGTAGAGACGCACATTAAGTGTTTCTTAACGCGAATCCTCGCAACCCTAGTTTGCAGCAAGTATAGAGGTGATCCGTGCAAAAAAAGTATTTTGGTTTTTTTTTTTAGGGGGCGGTGGGCAGTAAATCGACTTTGAAGAAACCTGTGGAACAAAGTTAAACAGGCCTTTGGTGCAAGACTTCTCAGAGTCTTTAACAAGAATTATGAATCCTCCCGAGAGGGGACTACTAAATAGAGATTTCCCCAAGTTTACCTAACCATCTTCATAGAGTATCTCATGGGCAAAGTGGGCCCCAGAGTGGGAAACACTCAACCCATTTATCCCACAGGAGACAGGCAGACGACGTGGCCCCAGTGTCTTGGGATGCAACAGGCTCTGATGCTTCATGATTCTGGGCCATGTACAGAGATATGCCCAGAATTTTGAGCTTCCCTTGGGAGATTTTCAAATAGATCTCATCTGGTGTAGGGACCTACACCACCCTGGGCCATCCTGGGGCCCCTTGCCTTAGATAACCTGCTTGTGAGAGAAACAAAGGTACTTTCTTGGTTCATTGTTAGGGAACCACAAGGCCTTGTCCATGTGGGTTTGCAGAGCTTGGTTGGCTGCATGTCCCGAGGGAAGCTGGTGCCTGCAGAAACGGCAGGAGGCCAGCTCTGGGAGCTGAGGTACTCTCAGTGTCCTGCTCGGCTGGTTGGGAACCCTGGGTCCCTGGCAGCTTTGTGCCTCCTCCTGTAAGGGCCTCTTAAGAAAGTTATTCTTCTGTCTTCACCCTCTGATGTTTTAACTAAGGTGCGGCTGTGTCGCAAATCCTCTGGACTCTTTCCTGCCTGTGACTCTGGCCAGGTTTACGTGCTCCTGTACGTGAGTATGAGTGAGCATGAGTGTCAGTGCCCTGTGCCTGGTTATAAGTAGGTGCAAGGATGAGAGAGGAATTGCATGTTAGCCTTCTTTTCCCCTTTGTGTGTGTCTCTCCTGTGGGTCCCCGGCTGGGAAAGCCTGTTTCGGGATGTGACTTACCAGGCAAGTAGATCTTGGCTGCTTTTCTGCTGAGACTGAGAGGGATCCTGAAAGGATGAACTGACACAGAAGAGAGGGAGTTTAGAAAGAGGTCAGCGGTTAGGGTCCCGCAGGCTTCTGTGATTCTGGTCACACACATATTCTCTCCCACATGCTAGGCCCCTCTGCTGGGACCTCCAGCACAACACGGGAAAAAGAATAAATGAGGGAATGAATAAATGAATGAGCTGTTTTGCACCACATGACAGGATAATGAAGTGGGATGAATATAGGTTTTAAGATCCGGCAGAACTGGTTTTAAATTCTGTCTTGAAACTCATATAATCTTGGGTAAGTTATTTATTTCTCTAGGTCTCTATTTCCTCATTTAAAAAATGGGAAAAACTATATGTCATTGTCATGAGATAATGAGTGCCTTGCATCTGGCATTTGGTATATCTTGCACATAGTAGATACTGTACATAGTAGATACTCAATAAAGTTACTTCTTTCTTTGTCATTTATTTTCCCATATACACATCTTGCGGGCTTCCCCTCTTTATCTCAGGATTCAATCAGGCCTGGGGGCTCTGGAAGGAAGAGGTAAGGGACCAGTATCTCCACTGCTTTTAGGTGGAGCCCTTGCCTGCCTATGCATCTCGGTGAGTACCTTTTAGCTAATCAGAAAAATGCTGCATCTCTAGAAGGCTGAACATCAAATATGAGGACAATGGGGTAGATTGTGTACATTTATGTCAACACTGCTCTTCTGTGGGCATAGTGGCTCATGGGATCACCTGCTGTCAGTCTGAGAGGCTAGGGTTTAATAAGAGCTTCACGGAGCACTAACTGAAATCCTTTTTTTTTTAAAAAGATTTTATTGGGGAATTGGGGGAGGGGAATAGTGTTGGGGAATCGGGGAAGGGGAACAGACAAGTTGCTGTCCTTTTGTTCTTCAGTCTAGTTGTGGAGGACGTTGCTTTACTTGCCCATGTTGGTATTATCATTGTGCTCTTCCTGGGCGAGGCAGTCACTTGCTGGCCATTGAACAGCCGCTCATAGCGGCTCACGGCAGCTCATGAAAGTGCACACCAGCTGCTGGCCAGCCCCACTGCAGCCTATGCCATCACCGGCAACCCATGGCAGCCCAGCTCCAGGTTGAGCTGTTGTTCAGCATCTTAGCTGTAGAGGACACAACATCACTGGCCCTCATGTGGGATTTGAACCAGGGCCCTGCTGCTCAGAGCTGGCGTCCCAAGCCAACTCCTAACCAATGCGCCAATCGGCCGGCCCCTGAAGTGCTTTTTTAACATTGCCTGACTTAACTGCATGATGGCCCATCAAGCACTATTATTATTCCCATTTTACAGATGGGTGGACTGAGGTTTACAGATTTTATTTTAAATAGCTCACCTAAGACCATCCAGCAAATAGCAGAGTTGGGAATCAAATCCATGTAGTTGCTCCAGGTCCAAATCCTTAACCCTCATCCTATAATCCCTTCCTTTCATGGCAGATGCACATGCCATGGAGTGGAAATGGGTATTTACAGTGAAATCTTACTCTAGCTGCCTATGCCTTCGAAGGGGAATGCCATTTTTCCTGTAAATGGACAAATACATCTCAATCTTACACTCTTCAGTGTAGAGAGACTTGATGAGGAAGGAAGGGAACAAAAGGCTGGACTTCTGATGCCCCGGCTGGTCCTTTTGAGGTGTCAAAGGAGACGGGGCTTTGGTTGGAGGAAGACATTCATGATCTTTAGGAAATAAAAAGAGTCGAGAAGGCAGCAAAGAGCAAGGCTGCCCTGCAGAGAAAAGGGGATGGATCATGAGGGCTGACGGGAGCTGAGTGACCTGGCGGAAGGTGAGATGGCCCGCAAGGCATTTGAGACGCTCAGGCAGCCACTGGGCACTTAAGGATACTCACAAGCATCTAACACTCAATGGCAGTTGTTCTGTGGCTATGGTGTTAGTCCTCTCCATTGCCCCAAGCTCCACTAAAGTCTGTCAGACACAGGTGCCTGTGGTTGAGGGGAAGAATAAAGGCTGAGTCTGGACCAAACAGAGAGAAGACCTCAGCCTCAGAAGATGAGACACGAACGGGAACAAAAAAGAGCAGGTGCTCAAACAAAAACGCTCCCAAGAACATAAGTCCTGCCATTTTGCAGACGATGTGTGTGTATGAGGGTGGGGGTAACTCTAGGCTATTTTATTTAAATCTCATGGGATAGGGTGACTTGGCTGACATCCAGGTTACTCTGGAGTTCTGTTACTTGTGAGAAAAGTTGCATTTGAGTCATAGATAGGTGTGTGAGTCAAGTGACAGACTGTAGAACATCAGGGAGGAAAAGGAGATGGGTGGTGGAGAGGGGAGGAGAAGAAGGGATCGAGTGTGCTCCCGTGTGTGTGTGTGTGTGTGTGTGTGTGTGTGTGTGTGTGCAGGAGGGAGGACATAAAGAGCGTGCAAAACAGTTATAAAAGCAATACATTGGAGAAGAGAAAGGACCTGTGGTTCTTAACCTTTTATGGAGTCACAGATCACCCTGAGAATCTGATAAAAGCTACTGACTTTTCCAGAAAAAAACAAAACAACAAACACATCTAAGATACCAAATGTTTTGCCATAATGGGGACCCTGAAGCTGATTTGTGACTCTAGGTTGGGTCCCCACTGCTTAATGACTGTTCTGTGGCGGGGCAGCCACTCTTAACCATTGGTGGAAATGTTTTTCTCCTGGAGCTCAGGCTGTGGGCCGATGCTGAACAACACTTGAAGGCTATTCCCAATGCATCTTTTTACACATGGGCGTTTTTGTGTAAATTAGAAAAGGTGCCACCTCTAGGCTGATCAACTAGAAAGAGGTTCCCTGATCTCTGAGGTGGGCCAGCTAGAAAAAGCGTCTACTCTGGAGGTTTGCACCTTGCAGGGTTGTCACTTCGTGTTATGAGCTGAATCGTGTCCTTTCAAAATTCATCTTTTGAAGGCCTAACCCCCAGTACCTCAGAATATGACTGTACAGATGGCCCTGGACTTATGAGGTTTGATCTAGGATTTTTCAACTCTATGATGGTGTGAAAGTGTCCAATTCAGTAGAAACTGTCCTTTGAATTTTGATCTTTTCCTGGGCTAGCGAAATGTTGGACAGTGGCAGTGAGCCACAGCTCTCAGGCAGCCATGTGATCATGAGGGAAAACAACTGATACTCTACAGTGTAGTATTCAATGCATGTTTGACTTACGTATTTTTAATTTACATTGGGTTTATTGGGATGGAACCCTATCATAAGTTGAGGAGCATCTGTATTTGGAGACAGGACCTTTAAAGAGGTGATTAAGGTTAACTGAGGTCCAATGGGTGGGCCCTAATCCAATATGACTGGTGTTCTTATAAGAAGAGATATGAGGACACAGACACACAGACACCATGTGAAGACACAGGGAAGAACACACCCATCTACAGTCCAAGAAGAGAGGCCTCAGAAGAAACAACCCTGCTGACACCTTGACCTTGGTCTTCCAGCCTCCAGAACCATGAGATAATAAATGTCTGTTGTTTAGCCACACTGTCTGTGGCATTTGTTATGGTGGCCCGAGTAGACTAATATGACTGGAGAAAAAGGCCTGAGCTGGATTCACACCCCACATGCTCTCTGGGCTGGAAAACTTCTGCAACAAACTACACAACTTGACACAGTGGTCCTGAGTGTGTTGGCCATTTCTGGAAACTCACTTGCAGGGTGACTCACATTACTTACCCAGATGCCTCCCCAGAAGGGAAAGCCTGCGTAGAATGAGACGGCTGTATAGTAGTAGTACCTGGAAATGTGGGTCCCCATGACAGAGCCGAGGCCGATGTGTATCAGGCCAATGAGGATCTGGATGGCCTGTCAGGACAGAACCACAAGCTGAGACCTTTGTTTCTGAAGCTGGCTCCTGCACACCACCCCCCACTTCCTTCCTGCCTCCATTTTATTTTAATGAATCTTTTGTCTTCTTGGTCTAAAAAGTAATATGGAAAACATAAAAATGAAATAAAAACTTCCCATAATTTCCCCCCACTCAGAGAAAACAACCACTTATATTTTGGTGTTTAACCTTCCATTATTATTTTGCAATACGTGTATATACTTTGATAATACGCAATGACTCCACATATTTAACTTAACATTTTATCATGAAGACGTCCCCATGGTATTAACTGTTCTTCAAACATATGCTTTATAAGGGTTGCCCAGATTCTGTCATGCCGATGTCCTGTGGAGCAGATGGGCCAGAGATACCAAGCAGGTAAGATTGTCTCTGTTTTCATATTATAAAGTAACACTGGGATAAGCATCCTTACAGGTAAATCTTTCTGCTCATCTCTTATTTCTTTGGGGTATTGTTATGGATTGACTTATGTCTGCCTCCACCCCATCAAATTAATATGTTGACGTTCTAGCCCCCTGTCCCTCAAAATGTGACCTTATTTGGAAATAGGGTTGCTGCAAGTATATTTAGGTAACATGAGGTATATTGGAGTAGGGTGGTCCCTAATCCTATATACTGCTGTCCTTTTAAAGAGGATGCCATGTGAAGAGACACACATGCACACTGGAGAATGCCAAGCCTGCAGGTATGCTGCTACAAGCCAGGGACCTCACAGAAGCTGGGAGAGAGACCTGGAACACATCCTCCCCCAGCGCTGTCAGAGGGAGCATGGCCCTGTGGACACCTTGATTACAAACTTTGGCTTCCAGAATCGTGGGACAGTACATTTCTGTTGTTCTAAGCCACCCAGTTTGTAGTACTTTGTTGTGGCGGCCCTGGGAAACTAATGTAATTCTTACCCAAATGGTATACTACAAACATGGCAGTGAATACAACTATAGTATGTCCTTAAATTTGCACCAATGGTGTCAAATTATAAGGAATGTCTGACTTTATTATTTATTTTTCCATTAATGATATATCTTGGGCTGTATGTCCATATCATAACATAAGGAGCTTTCTTTTTATAGCTCCACACATTTCATTCTTTGGATGTACAATACACTGATTTAACAAGTATTATATTGATGGCTATTTTGGTTGTTTCCATTCTTGTGCTATCACACAGCATGGTGCAATAAATAAACTCATACGTATCACATTTCTTGTGTGCCCAGCCGTATCTGCAGGACAGAGTCTCAGAAATAGCATTATTGGGTATTTTAATTTATGTATTTATTTTATTGGGTATTTTTAAATTTGGCAGATACAAGTCACTCTCCATACAGGCTGTATCGATTGACACTCCCATGAGCAATGTATAAATGTGGTGGAGCTAGGATTTGAGCTCAGGCAGCCTGGGTCAGAGTCCGTGCTTATCATCATTAGGCTATGCAATGAAACAGGCCTCCCTTTGCCCTACACGGGACAGCCTTTCAGGGGCAACGTCTTCATGAACTCTTATTTTGTTGGTTGTCTAACCCACTTTTGTTCCTGTTTGGCAACAATTCTTTTCAAACACATTGGGTTTAGACTCCACCTTGTAGATCGCAGGACCCATTTTCTCCCAGAGGCCACACAGATCAGCATGGGTACTGGCAACAGGACCAATGTTCCCATTTACTGCTTTGTTATTGCTTTTTTTTCTGTTTCCTAAAATGCCTAAGTTAGAAAGGACAAGGTCCCACACCGAGGCCCTGGTGATGCTGCACAGCCGAGTTTTCTAATAGACCTGGGTTTGGCGAGGCCGCGTCAGCTCCAACCCTGCTCGCTGGATTTGGAATTTCTGTATTTCTCAACCTCCTCTCTCCTCTGACTCCAGCCATGTGACCCCGGCCTGCAGTGCAAAATCTCACTTACCCCTAAGACTTTGCCTTCTTTCAAAACTTTCTGGGCGGGTTGCACACACACAGGTGGCTGCATGCCAGGTGGGTTCCCAGGAATTAGGTGGACTTGGGGCTGGTTGCTCGGGTACAGGGGTATCTGAGTCATGCCCCCTGGGATCACAGGATACCTGTTGTGGGGTCCCGCCATAAACACAGAATTGGCCATGGAGCCTGCCTGCTGCGAACTCATGCTGTTAAAAAAGAAATGTGATATTTTGTGAGGGGTGAAAAGGATAATTATTGCATTGTTTTGTACACCTGAAACTAATAATAATAATAACAGTAATAATAATAATAATAATAATAATAATAAAATAAATGTGATAGAGCCATCCCTCACATATGCACTAATGCTTACATTGAAAAAGGACTTTGGCTTTCATGAACTTGTTTGAGCATCTCAACCCCCCTATGAGTTTCTTACTCCTCTTTTAGAGATATTAGATACCAGTTATAGGGCAGTTACGAAGTGCCACACAGTCAGTGCTTCACAAATACATTTCCTTTATTCCTCACACTTGCCCAGTTTTACAGATAAGAAAAGTAAGGCCCAAGCAAGGTAAGCACTGTGGAGGGCAAAGGCTGTGTCTTTTTCATTTTTTGTATCTCTCCTCTTGCCCAGTTAGCACGGTGTTTTGCATACAGAAGTACTTTCTGATAATAAAACTTCAGAGCTGGAAAGTCTCCTGGAGAACATTGAGTTCAAGTCTGTCAATTTCTGAAAAAATAAACTGAGGCTGGGAGAGCGGACGTGAATTCCCCCAGGCCCCAGTCATATAAATATTAGTTAAATGGAGATCATTATCCTCAAAGGAAGCCCGTTGTCAGTGCAGTATACATTCATTGGGTCTCCCATGCTGCTCAATTTTCTTGTGAATTCTGTCTGGTTTAAAATTGTTTTTCTTCTTTTTCTTTTTCTTTCTTTTTTTCTGGACAGACCTCAAAAAGCTAGTACAATCAACCCTGCCATTGGCTCTACCCCCACACCCAGATTCATCATAAGTTTCATTTGGCAGAAAAACCTTATCAGCATCCTTCAGTTACCATAGAAACCATTAGATTAAGCATACTCACTTTGCTCTCCCAGTGGCTAGGTCTGTCTTGCCCCTCTTTCCTGTATGCAACCTGTTTTTCCCGAGACAATGAATGCACTGGGTTCGGTTGGTTGGGCGATATATTTAGAAAGATCCAAAGTCCTCTTCATTTTCTCCTAGGGGCAGGACAGGTTACCAGCTGCTCAGAGCTCGGCTTCCCCGCCCATGTTTACTTCCTGTTTTGGCCAAGGAGCTAGTTAAATGCAGCTCAGTTGCGTTAGTGCTTAAGAGCTCTCTGCGTGGAGAAGAAAGGGTTGTGCTTGGTGCTCTGGGAGACGCAGGAACAAACTGGGTGCTCAGGGGTAATGTACATAGCTGTGTTGCAAGACAGAATGACATAAACGCTACAGGACCGAAACCAGAGCCCCTGCAGGAGAACAGAGGAGAAGCTGGTTTATTGGATTTGAAGAGATTAAGGAAGACTTCAGACAGAAGGCGAAAATTTGAAATCAATCAACTGCATGAGAAAAGGGTAGTCACAGCATGGGAAATGAGAATTGCCATCCATTTAAGTCTACTTTTATCTGAGTCAGAGCCTGTAGAAAACCGGGAAACACCCATGGGTGGGCACCCAATGTACCACGTGAGCTGCACAGACAAAATGTGCAAGAACTGCCGTTCCAGGCAATAGGTGTCTTGATAGAATAGTTCACGACACATTTACCTTTGCATTCCTATTGGCATGTAATAGGCGTTAAACAAATGCCTACTGAATGAACAAACGAAGCTGATGACATGGATAGAACTTTGTGAAAGGGTCAACAGAAAGAATCTAATTACAGGTAGAGGGTATGGAGGGGGGCAAAGGCACGGAGGACAGAAGGCATAAGATATATTTTGGGTGTGGCAAATAGTGGTTGAAGCATTTTGTGGGTGAAGGACATTGAAATAAATAAGGATGAAAAGGTAGTTGGGGTCAAACTTTATGTCTATCACCACTTTTTTTTTAAAAGATTTTATTGGGGAATTCGGGGAGGGGAACAGGGTTGGGGAATCGGGGAAGGGAAACAGAGAAGTCGCTGTCCTTTTGTTCTTCAGTCTAGTGGTGGAGGATGTCGCTTCACTGGCCCATGTTGGTATTATCGTTGGGCTCTTCCTGGGTGAGGCAGTTGCTTGCTGGCCTTTGGACAGCCACTCACGGTGGCTCACAGCAGCTCACGCTGGCTGCCAGCCACTCATGGTAGCTTACAGCAGCCCACTGCAATAGAGGCTGCAGCCTATGCTGTCACCAGCGACTCACAGCAGGCTAGCTCCAGGTCGAGATGTTGTCCAGCATCTTAGCTATAGAGGGTGCAGCGTCATTTGCCCTCATGTGGGATCCAAACTAGGGTCCTGCTGCTTGGAGCTGGCATCCCACGCCAACTGCTAACCAATGCGTCATTCAGCCAGCTCTATCATCACTTTTATTTTTTATTGTTAGTTTCAGGTGTACAGAACAATGCAATAGTTATCCTTTTCACCCTTCAGACAGAAACAACCCCCCTCCCCCATCTACTGCCCTCCCATCCCCGATATCATACTTATCTATTATAATTCTATTGACTCCATTCCCACACTCTACTCCACATCCTATCACCACTTTTTTGATTCAACATCTGGATCTTTGTTCCACAATTTTTAAGAGTTCTTTATGTATTAGGGTTATTAACTCTTCATCTGTGATATATTTTCTCCAAGTTTGACAACGCCTTTTGATTTTGTTGTTGGTGTTATTTTTAGCATGCAAATGAAAAGAATTATGTAGTACAATTGATCAATCTTTTGCTACAGCATGTAATTTTATATTTTTCCAAAGGCTACTTGGTTGTCCCAGCACCAGTAAATAGTCTGTCTTTAATTCAGTGACTTAAAATGCCATCTTTGTTACATGTTAAATTTCTATGTATTTTTTGTTCCAATTCTGGTCTGTCTCTTCGACTACACTGGTCTATTACCTATCCATGTGTTAGTTTCATAATGTTTTTTTTTAACATTTTTAATTAAAAATATAGCTAACATACAATATTATATTAGTTTCAGGGGTACACCATAGTTATTCAACATTTGAATTCCTAAAGAAGTGATCACCATGATAAATCCAACAACCATCTGACACTATACCATGCTATCATAATACTATTGACTATATTTCCTATGCTGTACATTACATCCCCATGAATAATTTGTTTTGTACTTGGAAATTTGGATCTCTTATTCCCCTTCATCTTCCCCCCTCCTTTTAAAAATTTTCTATTACAGTTGACATTCAGTATTATTTTATATTAATTTCAAGTGTACAGCATAGTGGTTAGACATTTATATAATTTAAGAAATGATACCACTGATTAGCCTAGTACCCACCTGCTGTCTCCCTTAAGGTTCAGCCCCTGGTAAAACCTCATGCAGTATGCAAGTTGGGTGAGGCAGGGTCTCAGGGAGTCACTAAAGCAGGAAGAGTTGTGGTAAGCAGGTTAATGTAAATTATGATTTGGTGCCAGTGCTGAGCCTGGGGCTACTCAGCAAAAGTCTCAGAGCACACTGAGGACAGTTACTGCTGGCCTGGGGCCCACAGACTCTGATAGTTTCCCAGGAAAGAGTGCAATGTGGGTGGGGCTGGTTGGTCCCCAAGAAAGTGCCTCTGGCATTGGGGGAGTTGGGTGGGGCAGGATCCCAGGGAGTCAGATAGGTGGAGCAGCAGAGCTCACCAGACCAATCAGATTCAGTTTTGGCCGTGTAAGGGAAGGGCTCAACACAAGAAAGATGGCGCCTGCCTTCGGCTGCATGGGAGGAAGACCCAACACAGAGAAAATGTCAACTGTCTTCCAGCCCTCGCCTCACAGCCATACACCTCAGTTTGCCCCCATATGCCTCTGACACCTCCCAAGTCACTATCCCTCTACCGGAGCCCAGGGTAAGTTCCTGAGAGTGAGTGAGTCTGTGCATGGGCCCTTTAGTGGATACCTCAGTTTCCCATAGCCTTCCATCTCACCGGGATGGTCGGAATCCCCATTGTTTTTCACAGTGAGATATTGTGGAAGCTCCTCTTCCCGGCACTAATACACTGGGCTGGATAGCTTGGGGTGGGGCTGGGGTGCCTTGCTCCTCTGAGGGAACCTCTGCTGCCAAGATATCCCTCCTTATTTTCAACTGCCACACGGAGGCTTGGAGCCAGCCCGTTTCCTGTCTCCACCCCTCATACCAGCCTTGACGTGGCTTCTTTTTTATATCCTTAGTTATAAAACTTCTGTTCAGCTAGACTTCAGTTGGTTCTCTAGGTTTATTGTTCTATGATTTAGTGGTAATTTTAATGTGTTCAGGGAAGAAAAAAGACAAGAGTATTTATGTACTCTGCCATCTTGGATCTCCAATAATGTTTTAATCAGAGGCTTTGTAGTATGTTTTAATGTCAGATAGGCTAGTCTCTGCTCAGAATTTTTTCCTTTTCATTATTTTTCTGGTTATTCTTGCATGTTTCTTTTCCCATATAAATTTTATTTATTTTTATTTATTTTATTTTATTATTTTTTATTAAAAAAATTTTTTTTATTAGCTGAGCCATCCTGCCACCTGTTGGCAGCTCAGCAGCAGCTCAGCTGGGGCTGGGACTTGAACCGCTGTTGCTCAGAACTCACACTCTTGAGCGAGCTCTTAACCAACTGAGCCACTCGGCCAGCCCCCGTATAAATTTTAGTATTAATTTATATTAATTAATACAAATAAAATACTGGGTTGTCGGAAAAGTCATGACGCATGTTTGCGACAGATGGTACTAGTTCATTTTTGGAAGTACTAGAGTCAGTCACATCTATGTTATTGTATGTCATTTGACAACTGACAGTTCTAGCTTCATTCTAAAACAAAATTGAGCAATTTGGTTGAATTTTGGAGATTTTACAACAAGTTGAAGATGGAAGACCGAACTGTGCATTTTTGTCATATTTTACTGTTTTACTTCCATAAAGGGAAGAACGCGTGTCAAGATTATGAAAAGTTGCATATAGTTTACGGTGACAATGCTCTACAAGAACGTCAGTGCCAACAATGGTTCATGAAATTCCGTGCTGGTGATTTTGATCTCAACGACACCACTCCTCAGTCAGGGAGGCCCACCGAGGTTGATGATGACAAAATAAAGGCATTGATTGAGTCAAACCCATGTTACATGACACGAGAGATTGCAGAAACATTTAACATCCATCATTCAAGTGTTTATGACCACATGAAGAAGCTGGGATATGTAAGCAAGCTCGATATTTGGGTTCCTCATGACCTCAAAGAAGTTCATTTGAAGGCGCTTATAAACATCTGCAATATGCTCGTTAAACGTGAGGAAAACGATCTTTTTTTTGAAGCCATTGGTGACTGGTGTTAAGAAGTGGATTGTTTACAACAATGTGGTGCACAAACAGTCTTGGTCCTGACATGATGATTCACCTCAAACGACATCGAAAGCTGACATTCATCAGAGGAAGTTTATGCTCTCAGTGTGGTGGGATTTTAAAGGTGTTGTGTTTTTTTTAATTTTTAAATTTTATTTATTTATTTATTTATTTATTTATTTATTTATTTATTTATTTATTATTTTTTTTAGTTGAGCCATCCTGCCACCTGTTGGCAGCTCAGCTCGGGCCGGACTCGAATTGCTGTTGCTCAGAGCTCAAACCTTTGAGCGAGCTCTTAACCAACTGAGCCACTCAGCCGACCCTCGGTGTTGTGTTTTTTGAGCTCCTACCAAGTAACCAAACAATCAATTTCAATGTGTACTTTTGGCAGTTGGATAGTGTGAATGAGTCCATCATCCAAAAACGTCCAGAACTTGTTAATTGTAAAGGAGTTGTGTTCCATCACAACAACGCGAGACCACACACAAGTTTGATCACCCATCAAAAATTATTGGAAGCTGAAACTAATTCTAAAAAATGTGTATTTCACAATAAAAAATAATTTTAAAAAATTATTGGAGCTTGGATGGGATGTATTGGTACACCCACCATACTCGCCTGACCTTGCGCCGTCAGACTTTCACTTGTTTCTCTGTCTTCAAAACTCCTTGCATGGTATAACGTTCAATTCAGATGAGGCTGTAAATCAACACTTTGTTCAGTTTTTTGCAAATATAGACAGGTCTTTCTATGAACGAGGAATTATGAAGCTCACTGAAAGGTGGCAAAAGGTTATTGAACAAAACAGGCAATATATCACTGATTGATCTTTGTTCTTTATATAAATAAATG